CACATAGTTTGTGTCTCCTGCTTTTCATCTCATTTTTTATTTAATTGATATCGTTCCCAGAGTTGTTCTTTCTGTTCACCAGAGATGCCAGTGCTCTCATCCACTTCTATATCCACTGCCCAGTTTCCCCCAGGCCTCCTCCTAAGCTCCAGGTCAGCTCGGCCTGCCTTCCTTCCTTCCTTCCTTCCTTCCTTCCTTCCTTCCTCCCTCCCTCCCTCCCTCCCTCCCTCCCTCCCTCCCTCCTTCCTTTTTTTCTTTACAATTTACTTTTATGGGGAGTCTTGTGGAAGAATTGGGAGAAGGATTGAGGGACCCAAAGGGTATAGGAACTTCACAGGAAGACCAACAGAGTCGACTAACCTCGACCCTTGGGGGCCCCTAGAGACTGAACCACCAACCATAAAGCATACATGAGCTGGACCTAGGCCCCTACCCACATGATATGTAGCAGGTGTGCAGCTTGGTCTCCATGCGTGTTCCTCGACAACTGAAGCAGGGGCTGTTCTGACTGTTGTCTACCTGTGGGGCCTGTTCCTCTAACCAGGCTGCTGCCTTGTCTGGCCTCAGCGCGAGACTATATGCCTAGTCCTGCAGTGACTTGATGTGCCAAGGTGGGTTGGTACCTTGGGGGGGGGGGCTCTCCCTTCTCAGAGGAAAAGAGGAATGGGGGAGGAGCTGTATGGGGGGGGACTAGGAGGAGGGGGCTGTGATTGGCATGTAAAATGAATAAAATAAGTGAATGGAAAAAATTACTTTTTTATTTTAATTATGTGTAGGTATATTCGTCTGAAAGTGGGTATGTGCATATGAATGTAGGTACCCGTGGGGACAGCGGTGTCTGACTCTAGCGCTGGAGCTAGAGTCACAGACATTGTAGTTGCATGATATGGGTACTGGGAACCAAACTTAGGTCCTCTGCAAGAACAACAAGTGTTAGCTGCTGAGCCATTTTTCTAGCCCCTAGATTTGTGTGTGTGTGTTTGTTTGTTTGTTTGTTTGTTTTTTAAATAACTTTCTCTACCTAAGTAGGAAGAAGCTATAGTGAACAACTGAGGAAAGAGTTTTACCTGGAGGCAAAGCTCCTTAGAGGACTGCTAGTAAGAGGATGAGCTCATACTAATAGTCCTGGAATGGTTCAGTGAGTAAGAGCACAAACTATACGAATGAGTTTGAATCTCCAGTGTTTTTCGAAAAAAAAAAAAAAAAAAAACGCCAGGTGTGGCTACCTGCCTCTGACCCAGCAGAGGGGCGGGGACAGGTGGGTCCCAGCATTTCCCTGGCCGACCAGCCTCACTGAACTTGAGAGTTTCGGCTTCATTGAGAGCCGTGTCCCAAAGATAAAAGAGCAAATGCAAGAAGACATCCAGCATTGTTTTCTGGGCTCCACATGGACACACACACACACACACACACACACACACCGCACAGCCCCAGATATCCTAATAGTGAGAATTCG